CAAAATAATTAGAAATGAAAGATAATTTATTAGTGAAAATATCTATATCTATAAAATATCTCAAAGTTCTGCTGATTTATTTTGTGTTTGATGTTTGCAGGAGGACTGCTGCTGCTGACGCTCTGTGGGAACTATGGAACAGTCTGCAGGTTGCTCCTCTTTCCAGTCTTAATGTTGACTATAAATGTAACTGAATCCTATAAAAGTTTTTTTTTCACTGTCAGTTGTGTTGCATGTTAAGTGAGTGAATACTTCACAGTGGTAGGTTGGTTCAGACCCCAGTAGGTTTGCACTAAAGCTGAAAGTCTGACAGGCAGATAAATGACATGATGTCACACACTCCTGTTCTGTAGGTGGTGACATGCACCTTGAAGTTGTTTGTGATCTGCCAGTAAATCCAGAGAAGAAGATGAGCCAGCTATTTCCTGCATGAGAGAAGTAAGTGTTTTTACTTGTTCATTTCTTGCACAGTTAATGGTTTGTGGCTCATGTATGTTGCATTTGAAGCTCAGATTGTGTCCTATTAGTGCAGATAATGTGTGCATCAGGTTGTAGGCAGTGTTCATTCTGACTGCACTAACTAAACTGTCTGGACCACATGTTCAGCTAAGCCTCCACAGGGTTGGATGCCTTTGTTTGGCTTATGGGTTAAAGGACCCAGAGATTGATTAGCAGTTTTCTTTTCCTTAATATTGACCAGCAACCAATTCATTTAATTGTGAAGCATTAACGTTGTTAATATTTATTAAAAATTCCAAAAACAATAGCATTTAGCACTGCCATTATTAAACCTTTTAGAATGGTATCAACTACATATGTTGATTTGGATATCCATTTTACCTTATTTACACTTTTACACAAAAGACAAAGTTTGTGACAAACTCAGGAACAGGCTGTTTAACAGATAATAGTCTGTCTTCATGTCTTTGAATTTTACATCCTAAATAATAATTTAAACTTTAGAAATAACTATTTAATTTGCTTGTTTTCGCAGAAATTCTGCAGCCAGCCACAGACTATGGACCCTGAGGCTCCTCTAAACAAAAACCCACTCCCCAGCACCAGCCATGGTCCTGGGACCCTCTGATGCTGCTGTGGTATGTATCTTACTTTACTCCTGTATTTACACTTTTACACAAAAGACTTTTGCTGGTGACAGACTACACTTGTTTTAACTGCAAACTTTTCTGATGCAGGACCAGGGGTCTCATTTATAAA